TGTCATGTATATCCGCACTTTACATGCTCTGGTCTCCCACGCCTGTGCAGCCCAGTCTGGACTCAGTTGTTCAGCACCACGTCTCCTTGTTCACTCAGGTCTGCCCTGCAGAGTCAGTGTGGCCTTTCTTGGTGCCTCCTCTTCCGCACATTGTTGCTGATAGGAGAGAGGCTGTTGCTGCAAATCTATGATGAGCTTGCAAATTGTGTCTTCTTTTGGCCTTTTGGGCAGTGTCTCTCATTTCCACACATAAATGAAATCAATCGATGTTTCTCTTTTTTCTTCTTTTTCGCTTGTCATAGCCCCTTACATCTCCATCCATGTTGCCACAAATGGCCTGAGTTCACTTTTTTTTAAATCACAGAGTAGTATTCTATTTTGTATATGTATCACCACTTTTTGTTTTATTTTTTTTTTACTTTTTTATTTTATATAATTCTTACATCATTTTTCATTTTTGCACAATGTATTCATTTTCATTTTGGGTATATTCCCCATAGAATTGCACCCCCCCCCCTTATTTTGACCCTAGTCCTTCCTCTCTCCACCTTCCTCCCCGTAGTATGTCTTTGGTTTATAGTTTCTTCTTGACTTTGATTTTTACTTTGTATTAATTGGTCTTTTTCCTGTTCCCTTATTTATGTTTTCTAAATTCCTGCTATGAGTTAGACCACCCAGTATTTTACTTTTTCTTTCTGACTTATTTTGCTGAGCATGATCCCTTCCAGCTCCATCCATGTTGCTGCAAACTGCATGTGTTTATCTTTTTTGATTGCTGAGTAATAATCCATTGTGTATATGTACCACATCTTCTTGATCCAGTCATCTGGATCAAGATTTTGGGCATTTGGGTTGTTTCCATAGCTTAGCTGTTGTAAATAGTGCTGCTATAAACATAGGGGTGCAGGTGTCCTTTGGAATTAATGTTTCTGTGTTTTGTGTAAATACCTAGGAGTGGAACTGCTGGATCACAGGGATGCTCTATGTTTAGTAGGTCAAGAAATCTCCACACAGCTCTTCATAGTGGTTGGACCAGTTTTCACTCCCACCAACAGTACAGGAGAGTTCCTTTTTCTCCACAACCTCACCAACATTTGTTGTTGCTAGTTTTTTTAATATGTGCCATTCTCACTGGTGTGAGATGGTATCTCATGGTAGTTTTGATTTGCATTTCCCTGATTACAAGTTATGTTGAACATTTTGTCATATGCCTGTTGGCCATTTGCATTTTCTCTTCGGAGAAGTTTCTTTTTAGCTCTTCTGCCCATTTTTTGATTGGATTATTTTCTTTGTTTTTGTTGAGTCTCATCATCAGCTCTTTGTAGATTTTTGTGATCAGTCCTTTATCAGTCCTTTAGTGTTGTATGCATAAATTTTCTCCAAGTCGGTGGGGTTTCTCTTTGTTTTGGTTATTGTCTCTTTTGCTGTGCAGAAGCTCTTTAATTTGATGTAGTCCCAGCTGTTTATCTTTGCCTTCACTATCAGTGCTTTGGGTGATGCGTCTGTAAAGATGTCTTTGAGGTGCATGTTGTGTAGTGTTTCACCTATATTTCCTTCTATATATTTTATGTTTTCAGGTCTTATGTCTAGTTCTTTAATCTATTTTGAGTTGGTTTTTGTGTATGGTGTGAGGTAGTAGTCAAGCTTCATTCTTTTGCATGTAGTCACCCAGTTTTCCCAGCAGCATTTATTGAACAAACTTTCTTTGCTCCCATGCATATTCTTTGCTCCTTTGTCAAAGATTAGTTGACCATAAATCTGTGGGTTTATTTCTTGATTTTCTATTAAGTTTCATTGGTCCATGTGTCTGTTCTTGTTCCAATATATATCACAACTTTTTAATCCATCAGTCTGTTTGGGGCATCTGTCAAAATAGGTGGGGGAAGAGTAAAAGGGACTATGGTGATGGCCACAGTCAGGTTTTGTAATAGAACTTCAGGGAGAACACCTGAGCAGAGAAACCAATGCTGTGCAAACATGAGCAATGATGCATGAAAATAATAAATAGCAATAAATATGCAAATATAGTAAATATGTAATAAATAAAACAGGAGCAGCTAAAGAAGGTGAAAATGTTGCTGAGGACTCAGGATAAAGTACATGGAACTTTTCCTTTAATATCTCTCTAGGTGACCTCATATCCAAAGAAACTGAACAGGAAAGAATTTTAGTTGCATCTGCGATGTGTGGGATCCTCCCCTTCCATCCATGGATTCCTTTCCTGAAGTATCCCGCAGTGTGCTGACTCCTTACTCGTGAAGGCTGTTTCACAAAAGGCTCCTTTTCCTCCAAGGAAAGATTTCTGGTGGATATGTACCCTTCCTCAGGAATCCCCAACATTTCTGGGGAGGCAGGAGTCAGGAGTCCTCATTTGCATGAGGCAATACCAGTTCTTGCTGGAGCGCCTGTTAAAAATCTTCATAAAGACACGTTTAGACGTAGACATGATTTGACTTGGAATGTTCAAGTGTATAAATGAAGGTAGGTTTTGGCCCAGAGGCCCTGCATGAGACCAATGTTTCCACCTCACCAGAACTTTCTCGGTTTTAGATCTGAACATGATTGTTCTGGCCAGGAACTAGCCCCAGCGCCTCAGGAGGAAGAGTCACTGTGATGTCAGCGAGAGTGGGCCTGCAGCGCCCAGAGTCGCCGTAATTGTTGTGCGTGTGTGCCAGTGTCCTGTCCGACACTCGCGTTTCTAACAATTCATCTTTTTCCCTTGTCTCACTGCTGAGCTGGATCATTTTACCTCATTTTCTGCCCGGTGCTGAAATTCCCATCACATGTGCCCTTGTCCTCAGGCATTTGGACTGGAAATGAATGAAAATGCCCACTGCCCAGGTTCCCTAGCTTGCACATGCAGCTGATGGGATTTCCCACCTCATATCCTCAGATGGGATCTGGTGAGAGCCAATTCCTGAAGAGAAGTTAATCTCCTCATATTCCACCAGTAATTATTTTTTCAAACCTTGTGCTGCCCTCTTCTTATTTCCCCAGTCAACAAGCAATACCGTCACTGAACTCCCACAGGCTGGGTTGGTGTCACACATCATGGCCATCAGTGTCCGGGTCACAGCACAGTGAGGATGGGCTGCTGCTCCTGGACACAGAATAGCATGCTGGGTCCTTGACTTCTGTCCCTGGGAAAGGAGGGATTAGCTATTTCTCTGCTCTGCTGGGATCCCCTCCTCTCCTTGTCTCTCAGATGCAGGCAGGGTAAATCCTATACCTTCTTGGCATCAGGAATCTTGTGCTTCAGCAAAGGATACTTGAGGGAACATCAAACTCTGATTGCCTTCTCTGCTGTAAAGTGGGGTGAAAGGAGTGAGGGGTGTTGGGAGAGAGAGAGGTTAGGACAGAGGGCAGATTGAAAAGGGAGAGAGTGAGAGACAAAGAGGGAGAGAGAGAAGTAAAAAAAATGTGACATTTGCAGGGTTGGGAGAGGAAGACAGGTGGAAACTCCATGAAAGCTTATTTCAATTTAAATGTACTCACCTCAGAAACAAAGGTGACAACTGTCTCTAACATCCCTGAATGTGGTTTGGAGTCTTTGAAGTGGCTCAGCTCCCCAACCTGAGCTTGCCCCTTGATTCGCTCAACAAGCAAACATTAGAGAGTGGAATATTAGGGTCCACTACTGAGTCTTCAACAGATCAGACAAACAATGTTGGAGAAAAATGAGAATTTCATCGGGAGTAAAAGCTTGCACAAAGGCACTGTGGTAGAGAAAATACGGACGATATAAGGAACAGAGCGGCTGGGGAATGCTCTACTGAGCCAGTGAGGAAGTAGAGTGGGCAGTTGTGGCTGCAGAGAGACCACATCAAGCCTGAAAAGTCTAAATACGGAGACATCGCTGGTGGTACATCGGGTTGAACGCTATCCTCTGAAGCTGTGAAGCTGCGAAGCTCTGAAGCTCTGAAGCTCTGAAGCTGTCCATAGCCTCTTTAGCGTGGGTTCGATTCCCGGCAGGCCAGGGAGAAACCCACATGGAGCAGCAGACCTCTCCTGTCTTGCCCACTGCTCCTCTCAGCAGTGTCTTCGGTCCAACTCCCTGCTCTGCTCCCCACTCTGTCTCTGGTGAATTCTCTCACCTTCCCACGCCTCTGACCTATACCCCAGCTCTTATAAAAATAAATAAATCCTTAAAAAAAAAGTCCAGATAAGGAATTTCAATTTCATTGATGAGTGGTCTTATTTTTATTATTTGTGGGATTTTCTTCCTTCTGTTTGCTTTGTGCTTGTCTTTGTCCTTTGCTTCCTATGTTTTTGATGTGGAATTCAGCTATCAATTTCCCTGTCAAACTGAGTTTAGAGAACCCATACTTTTTTTTTTATTTAGGATATTTTTATTTATTTATACTATCACTGGGTACAGTCAGAAGCGCGGGAGGGTGAGAGAATTCACCAGAGCCAGAGCGGGGAGCAGAGCAGGCAGAAGGACCTAAGTACACTGCTGAGGGGAGCAGCGGGCGGCAGGAGAGGTCTGCGCGCCATGCAGGACCCTCCTCTGGTGGCCTGGAGCAGCCAGGGATTGAGTCCGCGCCACATAGGCTGTGGGGAGCTTTGCAACCCAGAGCTCAACTGCTGCACCACCAGGGAGGCCCTAAATGCACTTCATTTAATTCTTAAGTTGCATTAGTGTCCTAGATGTCATATCAAATGATTAAACTGTCCTAAAAATAACAGAAAAGAGAAAATTAAACAATAGTCTTAGAAATTTTAAGAGAGAGGGAGAGAGAGTATCACAAAGGTGTTGTGACGTCTTGTCCAGGTTTGGGGAGGTTGGTGTATCTTGCTTGTGGAAGCAAAATGGAAGAAAATGCAAGAAAGTTCAAATGATCTCATCTGTGACCTGGCCCTTGAATCTAAGAAGCAGGAAGCAGATTTGCATAGAGACCCTCTTCCTCCTCTTAGGCAGGGCTGGGGATAAGAGACATCTGGGGGAGTCAGGCCCAGGTTGGGGCATCAGAAGACAGAGACCTTGGCTTGTCTCCACCATGGCCTGGACTGTGCTTCTCCTCACCCTCCTCACTCAGGCCACAGGTGAGGCCTCCAGGGAAGGGACACTGAACACATCATGGCTGACCCTTATCTCTGCTCAGCTCCCTTGGGCGCAGACTGAACTCGCCTGTGTGTGTTTTTCCTCTTTTCAGGTTCCTGGGCCCAGTCAGCTCTGACCCAGCCTTCCTCAGTGTCTGGGGCTCTGGGACAGTCAGTCACCATCTCCTGTGCTGGGACCAGCAATGACATTGGGCAATATAACGATGTATCCTGGTACCAGCAGCTCCCTGGCAAGACACCCAAGCTCCTGATTTATGTTGTCAGTTACCGGCCCTCAGGGATCCCTGATCGCTTCTCTGGCTCCAAGTCAGGCAACACGGCCACTTTGACCATCTCTGGTCTCAAGCCTGAGGATGAGGCTGAGTATTACTGTAGCTCATTCAGGAGTGGTTATACTTACCACAGTGGTGTAAGTTCACGGGGAAGTGAGACAAGAAACTGCCCTGTGCTCCCAGCGTCCCTGTTGCACAGAAGAGGCTTCCCCCACCCTGTGCAGATGGGGCTTCATGCACGTGGCCTTGACAATTCAGTTTACTCTTAGCTCCTCTCTTCTCCTTAGTGCAATCCACAATGATGCTGTCTTATTTTCAGGGTGCAATGATTTTTTTTTCTCTACATTTATGATTGATCCTAGAATGTCCTCCACTTTCCATTTCTTCAGTGACAGGAGTTCATGGCATAGAGCTCAGGCTGTTCTCCTCCGTGGAGTCGGTTCTCTGCTGCTGGAGACTCTGGAACATGTCCCTAGTCCCAGCCACATGTTAGTGTGGTACTGCTGTCGGTCTTTTGTGACAACAGGATGTGAGTCTTTGTGGAGAGAGAATATCATTTTCTGCAACCCTGTTTCTGTAACTACACATGACTGTTCTAGAATGTCTGGGAATCTGTCCAAGTATCTTTATTTTTCAGAGAGCTTGGAGAGTGCAAATCCTCTCATGTGTCTCTGCCTTGAAAAGGTTCCAGTTTTTCTTAAAGGTGACTAGTATGGTTCTTAACAGTGAGCAGTGGGAAGAAAATTATAGCTAGAGCATGAGTGAGCCGGATCCTCCACAGTCTTTGTTCCTGTTGACTGTGGAGCCTTCAGATTGTCACAGGGAGGTGCAGGTCAAGTATTGGCAGCGAGATTAACATATGACACCTCAGGGTGGAACATCTGTGGAATTGAGATGGGACTTCCTTTTTTAATTTTTAAAATATTTTTATTAATTTATGCATACAAGGACTGGAGTGTAGGCCAGAGGTGCGGGGGTGGGTGGTTGAGAGGATTCACTAGAGAAAGTATAGGGAGCATAACTCCCTATAGGTGGATCTACTGAAATACACTGATGAAGTGAGTAGAGGGCGAGACAAGCAGAGGTCCGCTGTGCTGTGGGTTAGTATGGGAGTGGCTGGCAATAGGTTGATAGCAGTGAGACTTTAACCCCTGAGCCACCAGGAAGGGCCAGGATTGGACTTCTTCAGGCCAAAAGCAGCTAACACTTACCATGTTTCATTCTTGCTAAAAATTTGTGTTTTTCTCTATTTCCCATTCATTGGTATATTACATATAATTATAACAGGAATATACCGCAGTATAACTTGTTGGGTGCATCAGCACATCAAATGTCCCATGTGACAGACAGACTTGAAATGAGGGTTCCTAGGGCTGGTGTAGTTAGGACAGCCCCCCTCACTCCAGCCTCTCCCTCCACATCCTCCAAACCTGGAGTTCACCTCCTGCTCCCCATTGGGTCATTTAAATCTGAGCGAGCTCCCTCTTATTTGGCAGTATATATTCTTTTACCATTTAAGGATTCAATCTTCCTAGGTCTCCTCTTCATAACTTTATTTATTTATTTTTTTTAATGGAACATTCCAACTTCATTTTATTTCCCATCCATTGTTTCTTCATTACTGACTTGAGAAACCCTCAGGGCCACACACTCGGGAAGAAACACCTACTGGGACAGGTAGAATGATCATGAAGTTGTATCTAAACCCCCAGTATGGCAGGACACATTTCAATCAGGAAAAGATAAAGGGAAAAGGGATTCGATGGAAACAGGAACTGGAAAGCAAAAAGTGATGAAAGAAGAAAGAATAAAACAGATTTCAACTCCACTAGTCTGTCTTCCCTGGTGATTGTATTATACCCCCTGGTTACTGGGGGAAGCAAAGGCCTGGATTTGGGGACATTATTCGTTTTGTCAATGGGCCTGATTCAGTTTTGGAGCTGCTTCTCTCAGAGCACCCTTGCATTATTCAGAAATAGGGTCACAATTCTTCTGTACCCCAACAGTTCTTTCTTTATGATAAATGAACCAGGTCTCAGTCTCTGGACACAGTGTCTGTCACTGCTCCTGCTTAGGACACAGAGGCTTTTGAGAAGAATGAGGGAAAGCTGAAGAGAAATGAAAAGTAGCCACCTTTGGGTTTCATCATCGGAAAACGAGTGATTGGAGCTCCTTAGACAGCCTTGAACCCTGTCTTTTCCACACTCCTCAGAGCAAGGAATAGTCCCAGATCCTCAGTCAGGAGCCTCCATGAGTCTGTGGTGGAAGGACAGGGACAGCCTCAGGGGCTTTAACACTGCCACAGGCTCAGTCTGTCCTGACTCAGTAGTACAGCTCAGAGGGACAGCATGTCAGTTGAGCTCTGCCATTCTTGGATGCAGAAGAACTAGCGTATAGGAACAAGTTAGAGTGGGATGAGCAGAAACAGGTACAGGAAGCAATTTGTGTGAAGGCCCAGCACTGAGCATTCCTGAGTTTGTTTCCCTCTTTCCAGCTTCCCGGTCCCATTCGCTCCTGTTGGAATCCCTTGGGCAGTGTCCATGCTCTGGAACACTCAGTGACCATTTCCCTTGTTGGAAGTGACATGGGGTATCACACCTGTGGTGTATCAGGGTCTGGGTTGAGCCCAGTCTCCTTATCTCTGCTGTCGGGACTTTTCCCCCAGGGATCCCTGATCACTTCTCTGGTAATGATCATCCCTGACCCTCAGTGGCTACACCTGAGGAAGAGACTGATCATCACTGTCCCTCATTTAGAAGCCTGGCACTTCCACAGTGTGCAAGTTCGGGGGAAGTGAGGCCAGAATCTTCCCTTGCTCACAGGCTCCCTGAAGATACTTCAGAGCCTGTGCAGAGGGGACATCACACAAAGGTCTTGAGAACATGGTTCCCAAAGCAGGTCCACCATTCTCCCCTAACACCCCAAAGCAAAACATCCTCTGTTCTATTGCTTTGCAATAAAAGAGCTTTTCTTGTTCTCTGTGTCCAAGTTACAGAATATGTAACTTTTCCCAACTCAACTACACTAGAACAGACAGGGAGACAAGTTGGGGCCATTTTCCTCAGTTTTCAAGTATATCCTCACTTTACATGTTCTAGTCTCCTGTGCCTGTGCAGCCCAGCCTGGACTCAGTTGTCCAGAACAATGTCTCCTTCACTCAAGTCTGCCCTGCTGAGTCAGTGCGGCCTTTCTTGGTGCTTACTCTTCTGCACATTGCTGCTAAGAGAAGAGATGCTGAGAAAGGTGAAATTGTTGCTGAGATCTGAGGATTAACTACATGGACATTTTATGTTAATATCCCTCTAGGTTACCCCATATCCAGAGATACTGAACAGGAAAGAATTTTAGTTGCATCTGCGGTGTGTGGAATCTTCCCTTTCCATCCTGTATTCCTTTCCCACTAGGAAGGGCTGTTTCCCAAAAGGATCCCTTTTTCTCCAAGGGATGAGATAGCTGGTGGACATGCCCCCCCTTCCTCAGGAATCCCCAACATTTTTGTTACTCATCATGAGCCAATTCCAGTTCTTGCTGGAGCACCTGTTACAATTCATCATAATGACGCGTTCACATGTAGACATGCAGTTTGACCAAGAAGAGTCAAACATCTGAATGAAGGTAGGTTTCAGCCTCAGAGGCACCAGGCCATGACAACTCTCTCCATTCCACCAGAACTTTCCCAGTTTTATATCTGAACATAATGTGATCTGGCCCGGAACCATCCCCAGTGCCTCAGGAGGAATGGTCACTGTGATGTCAGCTAGAGTGGGCCTGCAGTGTCCGGACTCACCATGATTGTTCTGCGTCTGTGCCAGTGTCCTGCCCGAGACTCGCGTTTGTACCAGTGGACTCAGTAAAGTCAACTGCATGGATGGCATCCAGCCTGGGAGGGTCTGACTTAGACAAGGCAGGGGAAGGAGAAATTCATTGTTTCTCCTTGTCTCACTGCAGTAGCTGGATCATTTCACCTCATTCTTGCCCAGTGCTGAAATTCACATCACATATCCCCTGATTCTCAGGAACTCAGACTGGAAATTAATGAAAACGCCCTCTGTCCAGGCTCCCTAGCTTGCAGATGGCAGATGATGGGATTTCCTAACTCAGGAAACAAGGATCTGGTGGGAGCCATTTCCTGATGAGGAGTCAATCTCCTCATAATTTAACATTAGTTATTTTTTCAAATCTTTTACTAGCCACCTTCTTAATTTCCCAAGTCAACTGCCATTACCTTCTCACTGTGTCCCCCAGCTGGTCGGTGTCACACATCAGTGGCTCATCAATAGCCGCATCATAGCACATGGGGATGGGCCGCGGCTCCTGGACACAGAATAACAACTTGGGCCCTGCCCCTTGTTTTTGTGAGGCTGGCAGCAGCTGCCCCTGCTTGTAGGGTGGATGTCTATATGTAAATTAACCAGGTGACCAAGGGGCTTCTGTCTGGTTGTCCCTGCACATTTTACATAAGGCTGCTTGACTGTACGGCCATCAGTGGGACCTTTACAAAGTATCTACATGTGTCACCTGAGACATGAGACAGATGTCACATTGTCTGCACTGGGAGCAACAGCCACACAAGATTTATAATCCTACCTCCTGGTCCCACAATGTCAGCACAAGAATGTGGGATGTGATTTTCTGATGGTGTTGTCAGTTCTGTGCCCTCAGGAGTCCCAGCTCAAGTCCCGGGGTCCAGGTATGCAGCGGGACCTCTTTGACCACCTCTGGATTTGCTTGAGATAAAGACTGATGAACACTGTCCTGGGACAGCCAGAGCATTTACCCATAGCACTCCACATTCACGGGACACTGGGGCCACAGCCTGAGATTTGCTCTCAGCACTGGGCTATGTACTCGCAGTGAGTCACTGTGGTTTCTACTGTCCTTTCTGCTCCTGTGCTGAGAGGGAGTCTCATATCACATAATGTCATCTTAGGAAACCACCCTGTCACCTGGGCCATTTAATGTCACCTAATCATGGGGGAGAGGTTTGCTCACCTTTGCCATATTTGTTGGTTAGAAACAAATTACACCTGGTTCTCAAATTGAAGGCCATATTTTGAAGGGTCACCATGGGGTGGTCCTACACAGTCTATTAAAAACAGATTTTTAATCCATAGTTGAAACCTCTTGTGAAAAGCCCTGCAAATGTTGCTGAGGGAACAGCAAGAAACAGAAGTGAGTCCTACCTTTCAGTGTCCACCCTCTTGTACCACTTGGTTAGCTGATGCTTATCTGAACCCAAAGAGCATTTATGTGATATTATGTGACCAGCCATGGTTTTGCCATACTCGCTTTCCTCTCCTGACTCTGTACTGAAATCACATCCTACACCCTCATGCTCTTCTGTGTTCAAGAAGCTGCACTCCAATGGTGTGTTTACTCATCCATCTAGGGAGCTCTGTGAGGGCTGTTTTCTTCAGACACTTAGGCCAAGGCAACATATTGCAACTGACTGAACGATGACACTGACATGTAAGCCTGGTTGGGGGACTGCAATGTCTGCAGGCTACCATCAAGATGCTTGGCTTGCAGTAGGTTCTAAGAGCTTTTCTCCTTAGTCACTCCAATGGGGAAAGCTGTCAAGCCCATTGTCTCCACTCAGTATCTTCTGTGCATGTATATAAGCACCCCAGGCTCATCTCAGGCCAAAGCAGAGACTAGAACAGATTGTGGGGGCCCACCCTAAGGGGAGATTGAGAGGTCCCATCCCTGTCTTCTGTCCCTGGGAATGGAGGGATTAGCTTTTCTCTGCTAGATTGGGATCCCCTCCTCTCCTTGTCATTGAGATGCAGGGAGGGTAACTCCTCTGTCTTCTTGGCATCAGGAATCTTTTTCCAGGAAGGGATACTTGGGGGAAGATCAGACTCTTTTCCCCTCCTCTGCTCTAAAGTGGGGTGAGTGGAGTGAGGGGTGTTGGTAGAGAAAATGAAGGATGGAGTGAAGATTGAGAGAGAGAGAGAGAGAGAGAGAGAAATAACACAAATATGACATTTACAGGTGGGGTGGGAGAAGACTCAGGGAGAAACTGCATGAAAGCTTATTTTGATTTTACTGTACTCCTCTCAGAAACTGAATCAGGGTGGTCCTGCCTTGTTACCCTATCTGTTACAGGACAGGGAGAGGACACTGCAGAAACCCAAATCTGCCTGCTCTAAATAGGTCCCGACATCTACAGATAAATAAAACATACAAAAATCTTTGATGAAAAGGAACTTTAATACACTTAGTGTGAAATACAGAAAAGACAAAGATAGTTTCCAAATCAACCACCTGAAGTTATCTATTCCCTTGTGGGTAAAAGTTCTGCCAAACAAGGTTGGACCATGCAAGACCAAAAGCCTGCCACAAGTCTAAAGCATCTCCCAGCGGAATCCATAGAAAAGGGTCAGAAACAGCCAGACAAGTCTGGGAGCAAAAAAGCAAAATCAAAATCAAGATAAACACTGCTATTTTTAACCTCCACATGGAACTGTCACCCACATCTGTTTCAACCAGTCCAGGTCCATGAAGCAAGTGCAGCTTCTTCACGTGCCTCTCTGTGCCATGTGCCTCCTCCAGGTCTCCTTCTGATTCTCTATCCTTTTTCCTTCCTTCTTCAGTCTGTTCTCCAGCTTCTTCTTCTCCCAGTTTAGCTCCATCATCCCTTGCATTGGCTAGGGATCCTGGGACTCCCCTTTTTTGGGGACCACCCTGTTATAAAACCAATGTGAAAATTACTCTTTAACATCACTGAATGTTGTTTGGAGTCTTTGGGACAAATGCCATAGCTCAGCTCTCCAACCTGAGCTTGCCCTTTGATTCCCTTAACAAGCAAACATTGCTGCGTGCAATATTAGGGTATATACTGAGTATCAACAGACCATACATACAATGGAGGAAAACCAGAATTTCATCGAGCGCATGTGCAAAGGCACTGTGGTAGAGAACATATGGATGATTTAAGGAACAGAGTGACTTGGGAATGCTCTACCTGGGCAGTGAGGAAGTAGAGTGGGGATTGTGGGCCACAGACAGATCACATGATGACTGAAAAGTCCAGATAAGGAGATTAGATGAATGAAAATTAGTTCCTTAAATGTAAAGAGAATTTATTTGAGGATGTTCCATCGGTATTTGATGCTTTAAAACTCTCTGAATATTTTTTGGTGAACAAGCTGTTTGAAAGAAACAGATGCACATTGAGTGGTTAGGTGGTGTGCTTCTTGTCTGGGGACAACATCAAGGGTCTTGCACTGATAGAAGCTGTGGAGTAGTGCCGCAGACCAGCCTAGTCATTCAGAATCTGAGAGTGGACAGTAGGAGGTTAAGGACAGGCAGATGCATTAGTGAAAGCTGGGACCAGGTGGGCTGTGGCAAAGCAGACAGAAACTTCAATCCTAGTGCAGTGCATTTATTTATACAATCTTGAGCACAGAGGAGGGGAGGACAAAGTTGAGGCATTCCTAACAGCATCTTGGAGGTATCAGGAAGTGCCAACAATTGCAACACTATCAAGAAGCTGCAAGCCTGTGCTGAGTGCAATGTTGCAGCTTGATGGACACAGTGGGGAGAAATCCTTTTTCTATGCCTCATGACTGAGCGACTGTTGCTGTCTCAGGTCATTTGGGGTGGTGGTGGTGTGGCTCAGGACTGTTGCCCCAAGAACACATGCCCTTGTACCCAACAGAGAAGGAAGAGATGGTTTCATGATTGAGTTGACTGCTTATGCATTGGACTAGCTGTGGGAGACAGAGAAAGAATAAAGATAATGCCCATTTTCACTTGGGCATTAATATGGTTGGAACTGTCATTGAAATGGAGTCAGATTGGATAGCAATAGATATGAGGGAGAAAATGATTTGTGGGGGACCATTCATCTTTTTTTTTTTATTTCTGAGAAATCACAGAAAACATCACAACAATGTCTGTAATATTTATGTGCAAAATGCAATTCACAGGCTTGGATATATATTTTGACCCTAACTCTATAATCACATGTTTATTTAGTTTCTCATCAATTGATTCATCAGTCATTATTTTAAGTAATAGTAGCCAAAATCTTCAAATGCCATCCATTCAGTTAGGATTGGACATTGAACAATAAACATTATTTTCATGGCTTACACCCTTGCTGGATACATGACCGACACGCCAACCATTTCTCAGAATGATCTCAAATAGACCAGATGTTATAAGTTGGTGAGAATTTGGCAGATTTTCCCCTGAAAAGTTTTGTATATTTTTAATTTTTCTTCCATTTGGAGTTTTATTCTTAGGGTTCAGTGGGTAGACATATTCAATTTCAAAAAGCATGGGTCAACCTGAATTGGATGATACTGAGAGTTTTATAATCTTCCTGGAGTGGAAAAAAAGGGGGGGATATATTTAGCATCTTAATGTTTATGGAACAGAGGAAATGTCCTGCCCTTCATTTCCTAGATGATAATTTGTTTCTCCCCCTTTTTCTCATTGTCAATATGACTAGGGTTTTCACAATTTTATTGATATGTTGAAAAGCAGTTTTAGTTTTTACTGACTACTTGTTTCTGGTTTCAGTTTCATTGATGAGTGCTCTTATTTTTATTTGTAGGATTTTCTTCCTTCTGTTTGCTTTGTGCTTATCATTGTCATTAGCTTCCTACCTTGTTGCTATGGAATCGTCAATGCTATAAATTTGTTATGGAACTTTCAATGCTATCAATTTCAGCACTGAATTTATGGAATCCAATAAATTTTAATATGTTGTGTTTTTGCTTCCTCCCACTAAAAACAATTTCTGAAGTCCCTTGGCCATCCCATTTAATAATGATATATTTAAATGTACCTCATTTAATTCCTAAGTTGCATTAGTGTCTTAGAACTTTCATGTCAAATGCACAACTGTCCTTACAGTAATAGCAATGTATCGTCTCCCAATTCTGCAGGTACAAGTCAAATATCAACCTATCTGCAGTGTTATGCTCCCTCTATTAAAAAGGGGGAAGAATCCTTGCTTCTTCTTAATCAGGTGATTGCTGGCAAGTCTTACAAATTTCTTAACTTATAGCTGTCACTGTTCAATCTCTTCTTTGGACTCCTGTGGTATCTCTTTCCTGATTGGTTGTGTTTCTTCTTTTCTTCTTTTAGGACACTGGTCATGGTGGATTAAGGTCCACCCTAATGAAGTCTTACATCATCTTGATTTGATTTCACTGCAAAGAAACTTTTTCCAAATAAGGTCTCATTTCCTAATTGGGATTTAGAATTATGCCTATTTTTTGAGATACAATTCAACTAAAAACACCAGGAGTAGGGAAAATTTTCAGGTATTTTTTTCCATTGACTGCCAGCTTAATTTCGTAACATTATCATGG